CACCTGTCGACTCGTCCGGAGAGGCACCGCGCTCAAGCAAAATGTGCGCATCGGTACCTGCGGGCAAGAGCACATTTTGTAGACCAAGGCATAGATGGGACGGATTCTTTTTTTAAATAGTGCGAGGAACTGCGGCCTACCCCAGAATTCGTCTTCGGTAAAGTTCTCTGCATTTTCTGTCTGCCATTACCTTCCTCGCTCACAGAAACCGGTCGCGTGACGAAACTTTCTCACTGGTTTGGCGCTCTCAATTGCCTTCACGGGGCAGAGTCCTTGAGAAGCTGAGTCGTTCACCTCCTCAAAAAATTCGTCGGCTTCTACGAAAGATCGCGGATGCTCACGGCCGCTTTTTTTTTTTACAAGAACTTGCCACGGGGTTCCGTCCTGAGCCAGATCAATCCAATCCACACGCCCCTTCTTTGCAACTCATATTAGTATCATCCTACCATCTACATTCAGGTCGCAAATTGTGTTTTCCCGCGTGGTGGTTTGTTTCCCACAATCCCGTGCAAGCAACTCAGCTGATTCGTCGGAATCCCCCGCCCTCAATAGGAACGCGTCCGGTGACCCGCTTACGAAAATCGACGGCCAGAATCTTGATTTCGCAGTAACCTGCCCAGTTGATATGCCACTGACTCCACAGGCGCCCCATGGAAACCAAGCGATCTGCTTCGCCCGTGAAAGCGTATGGAGAAGTGGAGGGAAGCTCCACGCCTGGGGATTCTAAGTACAGCAAGTGAATGGGTGGTGCGACCCCGCTGGGACGCGAACCCAGGCATCCCACATCACGGAAGTATGAAAATTACTGCAATGACTGGACGTTATTTGACACCTCTGTATCAAGCACTGAGCTGACAAGGCCACGAGCCGTCAGGAGGGATTTTCACACGCGTCACGATCTTTGGCCATCTGTGATTAAAAATTGTTAGCGAACTTGTGAAATGCAGAGGCGGTCAATACGGAGGAATCAACGCAAAGAATTAACGTCTGCGGGTTGTTTACACAGCCACGGGGCACGGGAAGACATCCGTGTTTCATACATGCGCCTCGATTTGGATTTCCCACTGACGCGGGTTGCGGCAAACGTAAATCCAAGTTCCGATGCGCTGCAGTCGGCTACTGCAGAAAGTCACGTGCGGCAAACGTTTGCGGACGCGGATATTCCCCAAGGGGGACGGCGCCCCGGTCCTTCGACCCCGGCTCATCGGAAGGACGAAGTTCGAGCAGAAGGGACGAGACGGGGGAGTCAGGATCGCTGAAATAGGCCACGCCCTTTAAAATTCTTCCCACCACGTCAGGTGTCGCCGGGGTCGTCAGAGGGACCCCTGACAGCGCTTGACCTCGCTCACATTGAATTCCGGCAGTTGCCCCCCCCCCCACATTCAGGAACATGGCGGCCGAGGTTAATTCTCACTTCATTCACGTCTGGTTTGTGAAACGACGCTGCGTCAACTGCGAAGTTACTCCGCGGCTAATGAACTGCCTTGTCACGTGGGAATGACTGGAGGCGCCGCCTGGCAGTCTGCATGGAACGACAGAGTAAAACCACGAATGACTGCAGAACGAGCAAGACGGCCATTACCACCTTAGCAGCCGGAGGCGAGCCCCAGGTGTCCCGTTGAAGGCTGCGGTAGGAATCCGAAGGTTCAACGCCATTTGAGCCAACCCCCGACACTGGGCGCCTTCCAGACCGAGGCCCCACCCCTCCTCTTCCACAGCCTTGCTTTGTTTAACGATGCTGTAGCAACAGCGTCGAATGACGAAGTCGTCCAGGTTCTCTTCAGGCATTACAAGACATGAAGATCAGTCGGCAGTCATCGCGTTGCTCCGGCAAGTAGCAATTTGGAAAGAGGGGCCCCAAACAACCGCAGCCACGACCTCTCTTCTCCAAGGGCGGAGTCGGCCACCAGAAACTGGTTCTGAGTGCCGCCCCCGCGTTTCCACAAGAAAAGATTCTTCTCAGAAAGGTCATGGTGACGTATATATATATAACATCTTATTTAATTCTTCGTAGATGGCAGGACATGTTCGTTTTGACTAATCTCTTCAAACACGAGATATCTCACGTGAAGGGTTGAAGCTCCCCTTCCAGCGCGTCTCACACAACCAGCCACAAAGGCGGACATAAAAGGGGGCATTTCGCCGGGACGACACGAAGCGCAAAGAGCGTTAATGACGCACAGAAAGCGAGGAGTCAGGGGCCGAAGAGCTTTGCGGCTGAATTCGGATCAAAGGTGCACGGGAGGCGTGACAACTTTTCAAATTTCAGGGGGGTCAGGTTTGCGTTAGAAAATTCTCCCGGACGAAGGCAGTTAATTTCAAGGTATTCAAAATGGCTGAATACGGCGAGCATTTGGCCAAATACAAGTAAAACTAATTGCCGATGCTACATCACGCCTATATTCTCATCACTTATCACCTTTCTACGATATTCAAACAGCGACTGGGTTTGTTCTAAGCGGGTTTAATCGCAAACAGCAACTCGGATAAATTACGTAACATTCACAGCAGATTTAAACATCGCGTCACGCGAACGATCAAAGGTGAGGCCAGCCAACAGACGATCAGCATAGGAGATGGATGTCCTGTGCAGGAATTAAACCTTGGACGCATCAGTGCCAATGAGATGCGAGTACTCCAGTTCGGAGTACTGTCGTTCACGTCAGAAAGGTACTCGGATTTTGTGATAGCTGGGAACGCAAATCGCGTGCTGACGCAATGACACGGCGAGTTTTAATCTGAGGACGCAATTCTGTGAGCACACAACTCGAGCTGGAACAAGCTCACAGTCGCGTACCTACACAATCTCCTCCCCCCCCCTCCTAGCCTCTCAGGAGAGTCTACCAGCGGAATCCCACTCACTCGCCTCGAAATGTCACCTTCAGAATCCGACTCCGCGCATTTCTTTTGGGACTGGATAATGCAGTCGTAACAGAGTTCGTGGCAACTGGGCTGGCAAATACGGGGGAAACCTGTCGCCGCTCTACGCCTCAGTCCCCATAGGCGAACGTCTTCCATACGGCATGCCCGGATCCTTCTGAATCCCTGCCTGCCAGCTACTCCTCTTCGTAGCAGGGTAGACAGTCGCCGGGCTGGCGATAACTAATGAACCACCGGAACACATTTACGTGCGAGGACGCGAAATTTTGAAGCGACCCCGAACACGAGTATCAGGTCTGGTCCTCGTGTTCGGGGACACGCTTGTCGCGACGCCACCACAAAGTGCAGCTGCCGGGATCACAGGAAACCGACTTGATTTTCTCGGGGCATTTTCGTAGCTGCCCCCTGCCAGAAACAATTCGACGCAATTCCTTACAAACTTGGCATCCGAATCCTCTGCGCCCCACGACAAGCGGGCGTCACTGAATTATCCGTTCCGTGATTCGTGCATGAAAACAAGCGAACGTTTATCAATGAAAAATAGGACAGTCGGGGCTCACGTTCCGGCCGCTTTAACCCAACACCCAGTCCGGAGAGAGAGAGATCCCGCTTTCGTATGGATTCGAACCCCGGATTAAGCAGTTCGCGGTCACTGTTCTTACGTGTGGCAGCCGCAAACCACGAAAGAAGAGGCGGCAGAACCTTTAATTTCAGTGGCGTTCATGGCAAACAGAACCTAACGCTTGCAAATGCGCGCGTTCTGAGGCCGCACGCCGGAGCGAAGGCTCTTCCTGGAGCCACATTCTTCTCCTCTTTAATAAACCCAGGCATCAGCACCAGGTTCAAAGGTTGCCGTTCGTACTCGCGCGCTGCCCCCTGCGCTATAGAAAATTTGCTTTGCGATTTGGTCGAGACGGCTTCCGACAGATGTCGCCACTTGCAAGCGATGCCGATCACCAAGACCGCGGGCAGAGCCCTCCCTCACATTCCCGTCGCTGGAACGCAACTTAAATAAGAAGGCGGGGCAACGTGCACTACCCGCAAAACATATTCGAAAGTGGTTTGGGGGGGAGGCACCTGGAAACCTCGTGGCAACAGAAAGGTGTTAATCTCGTCTGTAAGGCGTTTCAAAGGTAAAATCGCTTTGCCCAAGAGTTCACAAACTGACCGTCCTTTGTGTTTCTGAAACCCACGAAGTTTCAACTGATTCAGTTCCGCGCATCGTCGTGTTCGAAGCAGGCCGATGTCTCGTCTGGCCTGAAGATGACCTTCCGGCTCCACCTTCGGGACTTGGAAACTTACAATGCGTCTTGACAGAACGGACCTCACACTAAATTCTCCCGAGGCAAAGCCGAAGCCGTTTCTGCTTGTTTCATGATTTACGTGCAATGAACTGTAAAGGATGGGCAGGACGTGTAGCATCCACGTGGCACACAAGAAAGACAAACGGCTTTTTATTCGCACAACATAAAAGAAGAGACCACATGGAAGACCAACGTTCGGACGGGAGGATAATATTCAAATGGATCTTGAGGATGCAGAATGGATTCATCTGGATCCCAGGCTCTTACGAACGCGAACCCTCACGTCACGCGACGGCCGGTAAAGTGTCTGACCACCTAAGGCACCATCAGCTTCTCAACAAGGATCCTGCTTCACGCAGTCGTTAGAAGACGGTGGACTGGTCATGCATCCGCCTGCTCGGCCTAAACGCCCCGTCCCCACGCACAGACTCGAAGCCCGGCCTCCTCTTCAGTGGCGAGCCCTCCCACAGCACGACTGCATTTCCCGACATATCACTTGATTCTCCTCAGTTCCTCCATGGAGGCCACAACTAACTCCACAGTAAGTACCTAATGCAGTCGAGGAAGCATTATTAAATTAACAAGGGATAAAAAACCCTACACCACGTAAAGCCGAGGTTTGTGGGGGATGGCAGCCTCAAACCCAGGACGGAATGGCTCGCTGCTTCGACTCAACAGATTTCACAATCGGTCCACCGTCTCGCACTGCCATCTGCACAAACTGAGCACAACTAACTGCCGCGAGCCAGACGTCGGATCGCATTCTAAGGGCTTTTAGCAGTCTCGCTTCATGAGGGCCTGATCTCAGACGCAGCAAGCAATTCTTCTTCTTCTTTATTACAGAGAAAGTAAATTAAAAATATGACAAAAGAATAATAACTGATGCGAACACATTCAGTCAGTGAACGGAAGATTACGGATTCCCAAAGATGACTCGGACTATTCGGACCTGCAGCCCATTCCCTGCCAGGACTGCCAACATTTGACGCTTGTACACTGCTTCTCTGTGTTAATAAATGGCTCGACTCCCAAGGCGGTGTTCTTCTCGTCTCTCGACGCAGAGGCGTCTCTTGCAAGAGTTCTCGCTGATCCCAGCACTAACGCCACTAATGTTACACTACGCTTACCTCCTCACAGATTACTCCCTCTCAAGAACTTATTAATCAGAGGTGCCACATTTTCAGGGTTGTTGAGGTGAAGGTGGTGGCTCCCGTCCACGTCATAAAACTCGCTCCGCTGCATCAGATCCAGCGTGCGCAGGTACACTTCCTCACGCTTGTCACCATGCAGAAAACCCACACTACCCCTGATGTTCAGCACCCTGCACTTTATCCTGGGTGCACACGCCAGAATGAAGTCTTCAGTCAACGCACCGATCCAGGGCTTCAACCTGGGATCACGGGACAGGAAATACATTCTGCAACAAAGCGTGAAATAATGTTTACACAGGATCATCCCTCATCCCTAAATTGTCGTCAACTACCTACGAGGCGCGCGCCATCCGTCACGGTTGCCAAACATAAAGCAAAGATAAAATAACTTCAAGAAGTCTGATTCAGATCTACTGCGGTCAGTTTCATACTGACTCATCCCACGGTTTGGGTACTGTTACTTCCGCACAACAAATGAGATTACGCGCTTTTCAAAATGAATCTCAAAACACGCAATAAAACATCACCTCTCTCCCTGAGAAGACTCTTTAATTCCCCTCTGAAGCAATACGCCACAAGAATCCCTTGTCGGAGACTTCCTGCTGCCCGCGTACACCAACTCGAGCAGCTCCTCGTACGTGTATTTTGGGGGGTCAGACGCTAGCCTCTTCTCTATCGCGAGTGTTCTGTCAAGACAATTCCTAATGTTGTCCAGCAGATTCTCCTCCTGAACCAGCATCAGGGAACGCGCACAGTCTATACTGACGTACGCATCCACATCATCTGGATACAGTGCCGAGTAAACAAATGCCACAGTGCTCCCATAGGAATGGCCTGAAAATAAACAAGGATCCTGGGAATTGGTGACCAGAATTCAACATCAGAGGATTTTGAATAAAATGGAAGTTAGCTCATTGCTACTGACTTTCTATAGAGTGGGCACATCACGGGAATAAAAAAAAAACACTGCAGTTCTTGACAGTCACTTGACATTAAATGTTAATCTTTTGGAACGAAAGAGATAAAGCTGCGGTTTTACACGAAGAGCCAAGTTCATGACAATGTATAAAAATATCTCAGTTTTCCTCAGTGTAAACACACCAAATGTCAGCACTCCCACTTCATACGTGAGAGTTCCCGGTTCAAATCTCATCCTGGAGACGATTTTTTGTTTTCCTCAGTCTTTCTACGACTATCTTGAATTAGGCCAGAAGTGCTTACTTCCACATCCTTTCCAATTCATTATTCACTATCAACTTCTTATTAAATGAACTATAATAGAAAAAATAAAGGAAGGAAGAAAAATACATTAAATAAAATAAGTTATTAAAATATTCTTAAGTTCCACCCCACCTGCAACGCTAAAAACCAATGCCACACATAGGTACAACCAATTTAAAATAATTTTGCAGTGCGTGTGTGCAAACAAACAAAAACATTAATTTTCTTCTAAGATGTTGTACTGAAAAATTAATTCTGTCTGACATGTCAGTTGCATGACTTGCTTCTGTGGTCATTCTTGATAATGTGATGAATAACCTAAGGTTGTCCCTAATACATAACTAAACACCACAAAAAGCAAACATATGGAGAAGTAAATATATATTTCACACATTCTTAACCTCACGAGTGTTCAGTTTCACACACCAGCTGCTTCATTCTTGTGGGCAGAGCCCCAGTACTGATGGGACAAGAGGCTCGGTGCAGTCAACAGAAAGTCCGAACACTGTGGCAAACAGAAAAGCCAAAGCGAAGACATCCAGCCATCAGCACAGTCGCTATTCTGACCGAGCTGTCCAGGCTACAGTAATATTTGACAAAGAGTACAAACTCCTCCTCGTACAACTTTCTCCATCCTTGTTCCTTCCTTTGTCTTAGGTCAAAATATTTCATCTGTGACTGTGATGAAACCTTCACAGGCAAAAATTAAATTGAAACAAATGCTTGTCTTTGTGGCTGCTTCGTTCATAAAATTAAACTGGCCTCAAGCAAAACTGTGAAAAGTGGTAATGTGTTTACACTGACTTCTTACCTACGACAGAAAACTTTGTCCACTTGAAGTGGTCTACAATGCGCCTAAGCAAGATAACAGCATCAATGAAATGGTGTGCACCAATTGCAGGGAAGAAAGATGACAGGCCATGTCCCATCAAGTCAACAGCCAAGAAGCTTGGTACACTCAGCAATGGGGCCAAAGTGTCAAACGTGTTGGCATTGTCTTCCCAGCCATGCAGTCCCAGCAATGGCTGCACACTGCAGTCACCCCACCACTTGCCTGCAACCACACCCCACACTTCATGTCCTGACTGCAACACAGTAACAAACTGAGAATCATTCAATTTATGCTTTGCAATTCCACCTGCTACATGTCCCCATGGCACCGGTATCTGCACCTCCTGAACTTGCAACTTGGCCATCTCTGAGACTGTAGCAAATCTGCAACACTGCGATCCTCGATTTTTCTGCTGCAAGCCTCGAAAGATAAGTCTACTTATGTGTCTAAACATCACTGACAGATGTTGAGGTTGTACAACTGTTAGAAGAAAGAAAATTCAAATGTTTAATCAATGTGATAATTCCCCTCCAGAGATCTTTAACACTACTGAAAACTCCAACATATATCAACGTACTTCAAGATAAGAGGAAAATACACAGGAGAAACCAAGAACTAATTCCTTAGATCCTGAACCTTCTGCTAGATAACGTTAAACTCTTACAGTTGTTTCCAGGCAAATGTCAGAGCATCAAGAAGAGAAACTTACTGCCTCCATTTTTATGCCACAAACTTTCATTAAAAACTGTTTTACAGGCCAAGAGCACTGGCAGTTTATCAGTAATATTTTCTAAACATTAAAACCAGTGTAATCTCATAACATGCAATTAGTATACTAGTTCTAACAGTGCTTATACGTCTGTGTATTAAGATTAGGTGACTATATTACAAATGTATGAATTTCAGGAATACAAAATGAACTGCAGGAAACTTTTAAACCAATTATTTACGGCAGTACAAATTATGGATTCCCAAACATACAAAACCAATTTATAATTTTAAAAACGAAACATAACCTAAAAACATCCGCAGCTTCCCGAAACATGAACACAGCTTTTACGTACAGTTAACCTTGCATTACATAGCGCATTTCACTTACAATATGAAATACAAGTACACTAAACAGATCAAAATGAAGCCTCACGGATGAGCTGCGTCGTACCTAACGCTACATACAAATCCTACAATAGTTCTATCACAAGCTTCTGTACCTTGATCCGAAAAGTAGGTTATAAGTCAAATGTCGCTATAATTTGCGGTTGTTCCAAACAAATTATGCAAATAGCGTCCAACTAATATATACCATTCTTAATTCCGATCAGCAGGGAGCACTACTTATTAACTGTACTTTTATAATTTGGAACACTAACATTCACTTTGCGACATTATATTGAGTGTCGGGCATTGGTACAGTTACTAGGAATTAATTTTACACTGAATACACACTAACTCGATTTCCATTTGAGAATGTGTTACAAAACAATAAAAACTTTATATTCTGCAGCGTCTGAGTTGATTCCTTGCCATCCACAATTAGCTTTACTTTACGTAAAAAAAATCCTTCGTCCCCAATTGCACAGAACAAAAACTACTGCTCAAAATATGGCACAAACACCATTTCGCGAGCCACGGTATTTACCTGCAAGTCCACACTGTATTACAAGACAACAAAGACCTCTTCTTCACTGCCATGAGAACCTCAAATCTCATACTTACTTGTTTTTATGTGAGCTGTATGTCCAACCCATCATAACCTCCTTGAGACAATCTTAAGAACAGCTGCTTATAGTGTGATATGTAGCTGATTCAGACATTACTGATGAAGAAACTACATGCCAAATTAACTATATGTAGTCCTACAATGGATGAATGTGATTTTGTCTGGTGTTTCCATGACTAATAAAATAAATTTCATTTTATGGCATTCATTATTCACAACTACCGACACAATAAAATGGGTTGCTGTGCTGTGTACTCTAGTAGAAGTTTATGGACATTTCAGAGGTTCTTGCTGCCTCCATCATCAAGGCTCATCACACATACAGCAACACAGAAGACATTCATCTTCCTACTTGCCACAGCGAGAATCTCAAATCTCACATAAAATGTCAATTGAGATGATTCACCTATTGTGGTTATATACTACCACTTTTTTTTTTTGGTCAAAGAACCAAATTTAAAGCAGAAAATGAAAATACCCACCTAAATATAATCACTGTTCCTCCTCCACACTTCATGCAACAATAAAATGTGATATCACCATAAGAAGACAGAGACAGTCTACACAGGAAAGTCACAACTGTTTATTTGTACAGTCACCAGACATCAGATATTATGAGTTACATTGTCATGTTCACTCAGACAGTACTATCATGGACAAATTACACTGACTCACTAAGTCTGAGTTTCCTGTGATCACTTAAATCTAACTTCCCATGTACAATGTGTAGCGTAACTACTACACATGATGCTGCATGATAGTTCACTTTCTGACACTGAATTCCTTCCTGCGCCATGCAGATTTCTCACTGTCCACGGACACACAGGAACAGCCATAAGACAGCCGCATGTTCAGTCACTTTTCTTGCTGTAAAGGTCCATGAGATGAGAGTCACAAGGATTTGAGGCTTAGATTTAATTTCACATAGATATTTTGAGCAGACTGACTTGAGTAGTATGGCAGAACAGGACACAATGTTATGGATACAGTTCTCATATGTGCAGTAGTGTTCCATTGTTACTGCTGCAGGACAAACTCAAATAATAAATTTATTTTCATCTTGTGGTTGCAGTTTAAATTACTCGAAGACTGCAATATTAATGGGTGTGATTTTGCCTCAACTGTGTGGCTTGCACGAGTCTGTCAACACATCAAAGCAGCTGAACCATAACTTCACTTCTCCCTCAAATTTGGTAATGGCATTTAATGAAGAGCTTAACAGTAGAAAAAGATAAATGATAATCAGTGATGATATGGTTCATAAAATGAGAAGTTAATAACTTGAATAAATATATATAAAAACAGTGGCAGTTTTGATCTTGATGTAAGTTGTGTACAAAACACACCTCAAATATCAACATAAATACAGGTAGGGGGTAAAATCCAAGGAAAAAAGATCCGTCGGTAGACCCCAAAACTCCTGGATGAAAGACCTAAGAAGATGGTTCGGATGCACCTCAATAGACATCTTTCGAGCGGCAGTCTCGAGGACAATGTTCGCCATGTGGATTGCCAACCTTCTTCGTTCGGAGATGGCGCACATCGTCATGATGAGACTTCCAGAGACATATGAGACAGGATGAGTCAGTGTATCAAACAATGAAGTTAAAACACTAATAAGCACTCAGCACTTGTGCCTGTAGGTTCACCAAGGCCTGCTGAAAATTTCTCATGTGTACATGGTAGCGGGGCTCGGGGCGTACGCCTGCGTCTGCCTGTACGGCCGTAGCTCCTGCCACACTTTCTGGGTGCAAGTGAAGGCCAGGAATATGAACAGCCCCTGCAGTGTGTTGAGGATCACGAACGCGTACCACACCACTGCAAACAACACTTACACTGCCATGAAGCTGCAATGCTACCCCCACAACACTTGCTTAATGCTTACATGATATCTGTACTAAGAAAACTTATATACAGAGAGCAGACATCAGTCAAAAGTTTAGTGGCACAGAAATAAGAATCTTCACAATATCTCAAGGTAATTATTGTTTTCCATCAGGTCTATAGCTATGGTGCCACCTTCTAACTCCAGTACCAAAATCAGAGCTCACTATTTCACCCAGGCCTGAGACCAACTCAGTTTTTTATAATTATGTAGTGGCACTTCCTATACTAAAGATGTAATGGTTGTACTGACACAAGTCTTGTTAAAGTAGGCAGGGGTGCATCACCCGAAGAGAAGCTTTAACAGGTACACTCAAACCTCAAGATAAATATGTAAATTGGGACGATGCTATAGTGAAATTATCATCTCAGTATGCTGCTCACCTATATTGTCAACGAATGCAGCGACGAGGCCGACAATCCAAGTCAGACCCATAATGAGCGCGAGGCGGCAGTAGAGACGGAAGTCTCTGTGTGTGCGGGATGTGTTCTTCAGCTCAGATGTGGAAGTATAGATGATACACGCACTCCAGAAAAATAGCACTGCATTGAGAATCATGACAACTGAGAGCGGTCCCACAATGAAGGTGAGCAGAGCCCTGCCACTGTCGAACCAGCATTCACTGACCCCGTAGCCTGGTCGTACATATTCCAACACCCCGTCAGAGGAGAACTCGGCTGCCAGCGCTACACCAACAATGACAGCAGGAACTATCCAGCTCCACAGACAGTAGACGCCAAACCTGTGCCAGTGCCTGCCTGTCAAAAATGGATCAGAGTTCACACCGAAAATTAAAACAAAAAAATACAAATATTCCTGAAATTATGCGGTGTACTTGAAATCAGGTGAAATTATGAAATGCCATTTAGTGAAAAAGAAATGTTTAAATATTTTGACTTTTTACATTGGCTGAAGTGCCGTACTATTCCTGGTGAGATGGTAATGTTCCTCTCTGTACAACCCAAGTTTGGCTACGCTTACGCAAATATGAAGAGGTACGTTAATTCCCATGCAATGCTTGTTCTAACACAGAAGTGAGTCTGCTACTTTAATGCATTACTCTAAAGAATTTATTGTTGAAGTATCTGCTATTTTGGAGATTAATGTTAAAATGTTAAAATTGTAGTAACAATACAATTTCCTCACATGTTTACAACACAGGAAATTTCTATAGCAAGACTGAATTCCTGATTACATTGGCCACTTTGTGTACAATAGTTCAATCACAGTGCCCACAGCTTGGAACAGAAGGACCACAGTTACAGGGGGACTTTTGAGTTCCACCTTTTCCTGAAATATATTCGACTTCATAACAACAAGTTACAAATGTATGCAGAGCGTAACAATCACCAACATTTGACTCCATATCTTTGTGAATGACACCAGCAATGTAAAGGACGTCTGAGATCGATGACCTCTGAACCCCACACAATAGTATCTGTGCCCCCCGCTAGCAACTCCCAAAGTTAACTAGCCCACAGGCAAAAGTACCGGATTTTTCATTACAGACTTAATAGTGTTACAATGAAATTCTACGCAACCTTTCGTACATCTCTGAAAAACAAAAGAAGGAGAATGCAATATATAAATTCAGCAGCGGTTACACGGCTTTAGGATGCATCCTGCCCTAGACAGTCTTACCTGTTGACACAAGCAGCTTCGTGGTGGCTACTCGGAGGACTCTGTTAATGTCGTATGCTATGGTAAGCATCCAGAAAAAGGAAGCTAGCAGACTGTAGTGAATTATAACAGCGATCGAAACACACGGGATGCCCGTCTCCTTCAGAGAGACAGACCCAAAGAACGAGCAGTACACGAGGAGTAGAGTGACACTGAGACAGGCCAGGTTCATTGACGACAAGTTGTGAAGCCTGGGAGTCAAGCCAAATGCAAAGAGGTGTAGTATGAGGAAGCCTATTGACAGGCTAAGCCCCACCAAAGTGATGTACCCCAGACCCTGGGAATACTCTTCTTCATCGTCTGCGCCGAACTCCGGCAAGCACATGGTCAATCTGCTGTCGTTGCCGATCCTGTACTCTTGCAGCTGCAAAGTTCTGTTGTGTGCCGGTATAAACACAGCCATGGTGACATTGTCTTGTACGTAGTACTCGGCAGGTTCCAGCTGAATCTTAAAACAAGTGTCGAGACTGGAGGCGGATGTTTCATTCTCGCTGGCACGAGTGTAATCTTCGGGTGCCGCATCTGCCACAGAGATGACAGTGATATAAACTTTTCCAATCCCTACTAATTAAAGAAATTATTGAGTAATGGGAAACGAGTGTTTAAGTGAAAGAAACTGACTTATTAATGCACAACTTGCTTTGGCTGATCAAGACTCAACACATCAAACCCAAGATTAACAGGAATTGAAAGGTCCACTCCAAATTAATTATACGTACTTTGCAAATGCATGTGATTTTACACCTCACTGGCTTTAATGCTTACATACTGCAGACACAGGACACTGGAAAAATTATCATAATATTTCCTTACTTTAAGCAGAACATGCATCCCTAATGCATATTTTTATCACCTAACTATAAGGTATCATATCCCAAAAGGTTCTACGCTGTTAATGCCAACGCAGACCAGCAGACATGAGCTAGTTCCACCCACCTACCATCATTACAATCCACCTCCTTTAAATACATCTCAATGTTATCCTAACATCTCATTTATTGTCCAAGAGGTGTCCCCCATCCATTTGCGACCCTGTAACAGCAACAGGCGACCTGTCTACACCACAAACACAAAGAACACAAAAATATGGTCTAATCTAAGAAACTATGTTCAGACGTACATTCAAACACAGAGCGACAGGTTCTTGTAAATGGATCGTACGTTTCCGTCTCCCGCTGGCATACGTCCCTTTCATTCAGACGGTGCCAGTCTAGAAGCACCGTAAAATCAGGTGACACCGTGGTCCTCAGCCTTGGCCCCAGTTCAACGCAGTCTGAGCCATTAAAACTGCCGTTGTTGTTGCACACCCCACAGTAATGATTGCGATACACAACGCCACTGAGGCACATGTGCGCAGTGTATGCCTCACACTGAACCCTGACCCCCTTGTCAGTCCAGTCCTCAGGGCAGGTGACCACAGCACTGCTGTCGCATGTGCGCAGAAGTGCTCGCAATGCTTCACTGGCCTCTACCCACACTCTGCAGCTGTACACGTGTCTGCTCGACCTGACATCTCTAAATATCAGTAATTCTGGGTTTTCTGTGATGTCCAGAGTCCATGACAAAGCTGTCGTATTGTAGACCAGGTAATTTATGATGTCATTGTCGAGGTTTATCAATGCATTTTCACAAGAGAAATAAATGGGCCAGAGTTCGGATGAATCGGCATCAAGGTCGCGATGGCAAAATGCACAATGCCTGTTGCGATATGTTATGTTGGTACGGTGACTCGTTATTGGTACCTCAGAAAGAGGGTCCCGGTAACTTGTATCGGGGTGCTCACAGTGGAAACGAGTATGTGGATCTTTCCACTCTGGAGGACACGAGGACATCATGTACACGTTTGTATTATCGAAGCTCTCGCAAGAGAAGGCTGAAGCCCCGAGTCGCTGTTGCTCTGACACAAACCAGGGAGCATCAAGGCAGCAGTCCCCATACTGAGCGCAAGACATGTCACACTGGCATGCTCCTGGGTCCAGGTTGCTGCTGCAAGACCGTCTGCAATCAAGAAAACAGGTTCTCTAGAAACAGACGTATGTACCAGATTAGTGAACAAAACTTAAAACTTGTCAGATGTAACATCAACGACTCGTTTTAAACAACATTTAAAACAGAGTCTGTGGGTACGTGGACACGGCATCTCCGTGCTAATTGTCACATGTCAGGATCCAAATGCCAATTAGTTACTGCCAACATACTGAATCCTGTTGTTTTACATCGGAAAAAGTTATACATTTCAGATCCCTGCGCAAGTGCCTCTTGAGTCATTCCTACCTCACAAACTCATTCGTTCGCCATTTTGTTATCACGGACTGCAGGAAATTCTGTCCTGCCCCTAAACAAGAATGGGATGCAACACCTGATCCAGGTAGAGAATAGTGAGCTAGGCATGACATGTAGCATGCATGGGAAAGACGTCAAATGTGCTCCACTGTTTAACTGGATGAGAGAACACTTGGGCAAAACGCAGTTCAAAAAAGAGAATAATATTAAAGTGGATCCTAAACACAATGCAATTCTGTGGGACTAAATTAATCTGCGTCAGAAAGAGATCATGGACGTTTGATTTCCATCTCTGGGTCGGAGACACGACCGTTCTCTCAAGCAGATCTCCGCCTTTCTTGCTGATGGTGATTCGACGTAAACTGGACGACTGATGTCTGACGTCATATGCACCGCGTCGAAGGGGCTAGTTAACACTCTCCATGGAGCCGAGACCTTCCTGAGAATCCCACAGTCGCTCGGCCACTTAGAAAGAAATTCCCAACAATTTATGGAACCAGAAGTTCATTGCCGCGTTCACAAGAGCCCGCCACTGGTCCCTATCCCAAGCCAGATGAATCCAGTCCATAACACCCCATCGGATTCCTCTAAGATCCGTTTAGGTGCGGCAGAGGAAACGCATGTTTTTCAAATAACAATAACTCGGTTGATTTTCAAGTTAAAAAAATTTTAATTACACAGAAAGAAAGGTTTTACAATGCAGTTTTTGTTGAACATTTTTGAATTACTTCCGAAAAGTAAAGTCCGTCAAGTGACGCCCTTCCTTCTGAACGCACTCTTGCAGCCTCTCCTCGAAATTCTGCATTGCGATTTCCTGGCGAATGGAATCCTTCAGTTCCTGGATGTTGCGTGGTTTCTTTCTGAAGAACTTTGATTTGAGGTAACCCCACACAAAATAGTCACATACGGACAGGTGAGGGGAGCGAGGCGGCCGAGGGAGATGACGTGTTGGGGAAACTTGCCACGAACCACCTGCATCGATGCTCTCGCCGTGGCACCATCCTGTTGAAACCACATATTCCGTAACCCTTCGTCTGTGCAGTTCTGGAAGCAGGAAATTGTTAAGCCTCGGGCTTCTGAGAACTGCCAATCCCACTCTCCCAGGGGTTCCTCTTCAGCACAGACCCTGTCGTCCTAAACGCATCAACCCTCCTGAGTATCGTCTTACGATCGGGGATGTTTCCACGGCGCTCCACAGTGAACTGTTTACGGAAAAGGCGCTGAACGGCAATTACGGATTCACAATATTTTATATAATTTTCAACGACAAACGCCCGATGCTCGCGGGTCCACGGCTACTGAAACTGCATCATCTAAGCTGTCTGCTAGCAAGGGGCGGAAATGCCCCACCCTCCTCCTTGTCGAATACTAGCCATTCCTTTCCTCTGCTGCACCCTATATTATCCTCTCCTCTAGGTCTAAGTGTTCCTAGAGGTCTCCTTCCTTCCGATTCGCCCACCGAAACCCTCGTCTCCTACGCGGGCTACATGACCTGTCCATCTCGTCCTCCTTGACTTGATCAGTCTAATTATATTTGGCGAGGAGCTCTGTTCCTCCCTTAGTATCAGAGACCAAGTTTCATACCCAGCGTCGTAAAACACGCAGATCCGTCCTCACACGCACACAAATCTAAAAAGTCAATGAAGATCACGTCCAATTGAGTGTTGGGGCTTGACTTGTCTTCCAACATCGGCGAATCGCATCCGGTCCACAGCCGCCGGACAAGGAGCGGCAAGTTGCGTTGGCCACTCACACTTCGCGTCGGATGACTCCTGCTCAGGGCCTCTCTGGCTGAGCCAACCATCATTAATTTTACTGTTAGGTCCTGACCGGAAACGCCTGAGTGAACTGTTCGCGACTGCAACCTTGAGACTTGCAAGGAATGCAGGAAGACGTACTCAATGACAGCTTCAGCGTTGTCGCAGTCAATTTGAGAGTCGGCATCAATGTAATTAACGGCAATGTCGTCTCTTTCCCAATATCGGCTTTCGACTGTTTCTGTGTGTCTACAAAACCCTTCCCAGTCCTCCTTCGTCACTTGTGGCAATTTTCGCAGGCTCAGATCTCCTGTGACGTTGTTTTCACGCACGACTCTCCTTTCGCCCACGCAAATATTTGGAGGCCGACTACCAACCGCATTTGTCCAAGATGAGATCACTTTTGTAGATCTTCTCTCTGGGTCTCAGAGGCAGAATTTGGTTATGCAGCTCATTTTTTCGCGTGGTCTCGTTACAGCCAGGAATCATGTCTGCCTTCATTGCGTAGAGACAATGCGCGCCGCACGACAAGAGTTCACATTGGCCTTGGTTTTGCAAGCATTTACGAAAGGTTGGGTTTCTCTCAACCCATGATTCATCGATGTAAAACATTGGCTGGCCCTAATTCCGGGACTGATTTATTTTCACTAGATATCTTGATCTCAAGTCAATAACGTCTGCTCCCTCTTTCAAAATTTTGTGTTTCGAATGGAACGTTCTCCATTTAAATCCGAGGCTCCTTCCGACTTCTCTCTCCTGAATTGTGTCTTCCTCAGTTCTTTCCTGGTGATCTGAGGGGGCTGGGGAGAACTGGTAGCATTGCCTCCCGATTTTTAATACAGATGACCGACACTTCCCCTTGTTAATCGGCAAGAACAATCATCACATTTCTCAATTACGTCCGCTATTATTTCCCGGTGAATGGTAACATTATTCGGTACTCTGCCAGAACACTGACTTATCCGTCGTTTCGACACGTATTAACAGTTGCCATCCTCAGGGCGGATGTGAGTTTTTTTATCACATCTTATCGCAAATTGGACTGAGCAGAATGTGCCAAAGACGTCAGACGGAAAGACGGAAGAAAGGGTCTCAGTGTATCCGGAAGAGGCAAAGGGCTTAAAAAGGTAAATGTTAGGTTAGGTTCGATCCCAGACGCAAGCTAAACAGTCTTTAACCCTTTGAAGCCGAAGATCGTCTGAATATTATTTATGAATTCAGTCTGTACCGCGAAGAAAACACTACACCTCACCGTTACGAAAATCAGCTGGTTAACCCTTTGAAGCCGAAGCTTGTCTTCATAATATTTACGAATCCAGACCGTACCGCGAAGAAAACACTTCACTTAACCATTAGAAGTCGAATCAGGCGGTACCACATAAGATTTAACAAAAGAACATCCCGGTCAAAGCCTTAAACACTCTCTCGAATTCACACGTCAGTGGTCGCTGCGATCTGAAAAGACGCTGCACAGATACACAAAACAATTTCTTCAGTTCAGTTCTTTGAATACCAGCGGCCAACTGTTAAGCTGTAAAGAAAGAGGCGCTCGGTACTTACTCGAAGTCCGATCGGCTGGACTGGGTCGCCGCCGGCCTTTTGCCACACCAAGCAGCATCAGCAGAGCAAACATCGCGGACGGACCTCAGCAGAAGAATGCCGCTGGACGCAACGGGCAGTCTGCCTGCTGGAAAGAGACGGGGAATCCCGCCTTGGTGACGTCATCGCAGCGACAGGACACGAAGGACGGGTAATCACTTGGGACTGGGAGGAGGTGCAATGACACGCACTTCCTGGAACACGGGAGTGTCATCACGCTCGATTATTTCAATGTTTCCTTCGAAACTCGGCTTCTCTTCGGGTTCCGTCCAGAAGATCCGAATGGCCGGCGCAAGGGCATTCGACGCCCCAGGCGGACTGTCAGCTTTGTCCCCGCCCCCGCCGTCCACTTCAACAGCAATGCGAGGTCACTCCTTCCTTCATATTCATTCTAGTTTGCCGAGTGGTCAGATTTCACATTCATAATCACATCAACTTTGTCTGTTTGATGCAACGTTATTTAATATCGCAATTAGTACCACAGGCGTATTGTCGTCAACAATGAAAAAGGAACGCCGTCGGCTTGCAGGTACGAATGTATTGTTGCAAAGCCGCTCGCCTGCAGAACTGTGTTTACACTGCACGCGTTACACGTGTGTCAGAGAAGTTGACGAACTTTGGGGGAAATGATTCGGGGCAACTTTGTTCCGAAGAACAATTTCCGGTCTGCCTCCGTGCTCAACCGGCCCCGCCCTACGCTGCATCACGCGATTGCCTACACAATGTGTCTGTTCCCTTCTGTGTGCGCCGGGACTTTGCAACCAGATTTCAAAACGCCGTTTTCACCAGCGCCTTCCTCTGAAGGCTTTAAGCTCCGGCGGTCAGCACATCAAACAAGATCTGAAGTGATGATGTGAGCAGCAAGGACCTCTGAAACGTCGGGAAAGTATCTCGGTGCACGCTGCTACAACCCAGAGGACAGCCATCTTCGTAATCGCCTGATTGATACCGATCCGCCCAGTGTTTCAGATGCACTCCGCCACCACGGCATGGCGCCAGTATGTCGCGGAAAGCCGAGAAGCGGTGGTCCTCCAACAATACAGAAGATATCTTCAGTTTTCTCATTGTTGAAACGATGAACTACTAGGAACAAGGGCCTTGTGGAAAATAAACGCGGCATAATTTTCAATCTCTGGTAACAGCAACTCGGTCCACAGGGCCTCGTTTGTGAAGGTGAGGCTGGAGGAGAAACCCCATCCCCTGAATGACAGCCGAAAATGTTCAACTTAAATTCTCGTACAAGAGTTTCCCTTCCACCAAACGCAACTACGACAAGGTTCTTCTGAAAATGTAAAAATGGACTCCAGACAATCGTCTGTAAAAATGGGTTTCCTCGCATGAGAAGTTGAGCGATTCACAAGAAACTCTGAGAGGTGCAACCTCGTTCTATCAATTTCTGAAGCTAATCACTCTGCAACAAACATTAAAATCATTCTCAAGAATTACAAGTCACCATAGACAATGAAAAGGATTGTTGCTATTTTCGGTCCGTGGTCTTCACCGAAATTACACTTATCTCTGAACGTACAATACCATTTATCAGCATGTGATGTGTGATAAAATTCAAAAGTTTATTGCCAAATATTAGGGCAGGGATGTTTATTCATAACAGATGCTCAAAGCTTGGTCCTCCGTTCTCCACACATCCCTGAGCATGACGTACACAAGATCGACGGAATCCTCCGTTCACACCAGGGTGTCCTCGAATCATCTGCACACGTTCCCATAGGTCGTCTTCATTGTTCATGGGCGTTGCATAAACGACGGACTTCAAGTGACCCCACAGATAAAAGTCCAATGGAGTCAGGTCCGGTGACCTCGGTGGCCACCACGCCCAATCCATCGCTGAGGGTACTGTTCATTGAGATGATGTCTGGGGCTCCGTCGTGCATAAACCGCATTTGTCTTCTTGTATTCAGTGGTACATCTTCAAGGAGGCGTGGCAAGTGTCTTCTTAAGCATCGCCGATATGAAGGTCCTCTTAGACGCGATCGAAGCATGTCGCCATTAATTGAAAATCTTTGCTGGAAGCTGGATTCACTTTGACATGTCATTCATTGAAACTTATTTTTGGCTATTATTTAGAAAATGAAACATATGCGACCCCATGTTCATAGAAATATTCTTTCTTATTTTTGATCCTGGAACACGCACACGAAGTTTGTAAACATACTTTTGACTCACCCTGTATATATAGGTGTCACACAGACAATGGACTATATCCTAAGTAGGATCTGATGTTCTCATGGCAGTGAGTATGAAGATGGCTGTCTTCTGGGTTCTAGTTTCATGTAGTCTGGTAAGTTTACCGACGTTTCAGAGGTCCTTGCTGCCTCCATCATCAGGGCAACCCATTCAATTAGACCACACACACACCCTATTTTAAAATGAACCTCTCATTTACACTAACATACACCCCTCACGTTTCATCTCTTCTGTTCAGGTTTTACTACACTTCTCACATCTTCCAAGTGCGCTACACGCCCCAACCTTCTCATCATTCCTCAGCTCGACAGGATTTCTGACGAGTCATTGTATTCAAATGGAGAAAATAATCTCGAATGCAGGACATTCTAGGGCGAGAGACTTAACTGCTTCAGAAAGATAAACTAATCGAGATACGCGTCCACTTGCAGCGTGGACAGCACGCTGAAGAGGTCAACGTTTTATCACTGAGCATGTGGCTACACCATTGATAAGATGGACTTGGACTGAAAGGAAAGAATGCAAATGATCAAGAGAATGATATTTTCAAAAATTTCACCTCAAGAGCTGGACATTTCGAGATATCGTATCACAACACGACAGATAAGAGTTTCAGATAAGTTATTAAAGATTCCCCCATTTTATAAGAGGGAGCTCACACAGACGTGAATTGATCTGGCGTCAACATGTTCTGCTGTGTGACATTTCTGGTGATAGCAGCGACCTGCATCACAGGAAGGGTGATAGGTAAGGCACTAGTTATATTCAGCGATTCTTGGTCTACTTTTAAGACACCATCCCAGAATCTGCTTAGGGGGCAAAGAATGCTTAGATAAATGTCAGTTAAAGATCAAATGATGGACCTTTCAAATATGGGAAATTCATCTGCTATCACATGCACAGTTGGCAGACATGAAGCTTGGCTTTTCTCTGGTGTATCCTCCATTAAATTTAAAAATATGACACTCCATGCAGGACTACAGTTTCTCAAAATACATACTTTGTTACATATAAGCACGTATGCTTATATGTTGTTTGATTTAGAAAAAAACAACCTAATACTGTAGTGTATTTTTTCTTTCTGTAAGTTTCCCTTTCCTGGAGGAGCTGAGAAAATGCACAAAACACCAGTCCCATGTTCCTCCTGAATATGGAGCTGGGAGTAACAATCCTTGTAATATAGTAGGTCACAACATGTCTCAGCCATTTTATTAAACTCTTACGCAAACATCAGAATGTTGCGCAAAAACATTAGCCTGATGCAACTGATTTTATTAAACTCTTACGCAAACATCAGACTAGTTAATGTTGCGCAAAAACATTAGCCCGAACTGTCAGAACAGCAGCAAAACTTAACGTTTCCTAGCCACGGCACAAGAAAGCAAACCTACTTCAGGAGCGCTACAACGGACTGAAACATATCAGATATAAAAGGGAAAGAACGCTATCAATGGTCCTTAACAACAGTAATATTATTCCTACAATTAAAGCAGATAAATGCCCGCCCGAGTACGAAGAATAGTCGGACCCCACTCAGTCCATACCACATTTACTTGCATTGGCAGCATTGACACCCAAACACATACTGCATGTAAGTTGAATTGTCACTCAATTTGTTAACGCACTACGGTCTTTACTGCAAACTGAGACAAAGTGTAAAATATATTAGATACAACCCTGATTACGGTGGTTAAGTCCAGCATTTCTGCCAGAACTGGCCAAATTATTCTGTACACACGTCACCCGAGTTACAGAATTTGCAGCAACAGCAAGGAGTTTTATCTGCAGAAAAACTCAGAACAAACCTAAGAGGGGACTATTAAAGAGTTTTTACTTGCAGATGTGCGGTCCAAGCAGAGTGCATGGGAGCTGAGTGGCAAGTTTGAAGGAGACATTGTGCTGACTGGCGATCAGCTAAGAAATGGCCTCATTAACCCAGCGTCTCGATGGCCCAAAAGAACTCTGCCCTTCCTCATAGACGAGGCTGCATTCAGTGAGTAGTCCACAACACAAATTGCGAGTAATCCCCCCCCTGCCTCAAATATCGCGATACAAACAAACAAATTCGTGGGGTGTGGAGGATGTCAGACCTCAGCACTACTTATAAGTAGTTAGCATCACGCTCTGGCCACTTTATCCCAGTACCCATTTCATAAAAGAACCAAGCGGACACCGGAGTCAGTCTGACACACTGGCGGCAAAGACAAAACTGTCACCTTTGTTAGAAATCTAAGTCTTCTCATCCGACATCCCAAGGTTAGAGACTGGCTGACACATCTGTTTTCCAAAATGTTACACAGGGCAATTTTATTGGCAAGACCGGAACAATGGAAAAATAACAAACAGAAAAAGGGTATATTATGTCAACCAGACATCTGGAGGAACACTGCAATGAACCTTCAGACTCTATAAAGGGCAGGGTGGAGGAACACTGCAATGAACCTTCAGATTCTACAAAGGGCAGGAAATTTTGTTCTAAACGAGTGACTATTAGCTTCTCAAGGAACCTCCATCATGGAAAAAGTTCCTTCTGCTGACAACAGACTGATCTTGTCAGAATCAGGCTGATAATCTGTGCAGGCCCCTCAAGAGTAAAAGCCTGCGTAGCCCAAGTCACCGTCTGCATTTGCAACTCCACTGTTTTCATCACCTCCTTCCAGTTCTTTCCCGATGATTTACCATTTTTGTTTGTGAAAAAAAATCTTCCAGAATGAGCTATGAGTAACAGTGAACTGTTCCTTGCGCAGCTGAAGAGCAAAAAGCCCACATTCTACATGCAGTAGATGAATACCATAATAAGACATCCATCCGTCTGCGTGAATACGACCCAGAAGCCGACAACGATTATGTCTACATAACAGGAGAAAAATCTGGTTGTTGGTCATATGTGGGTCGCACAGGAGGGGTAAGTCACCTCACAACTCGTTTGATAAACGTGATAAATTTGACACAACTGCTCTGATAATTCACGATTATGAACATACTTTTAATGCTAATTTCTTACTTCTCTGTCAGTTTCATTATCGCTAATAAACTAACTCCATGAAGCAGAATCCTTCTTGAGAAGCTAACACTACACTCAACTAGTGAAAAAATTCCCTAACTTTCCTATTCCCCTAAGGTCCATTGTAATATCATCCTTCTACCCAGACCCAGGATTTCTGAGTGGTCTCTTCCCTTCAGGCTTGCCAACAAACATTCTGTTCACATTTCTCATCTGCATGCTAAATGCCCTGCCCATCTCCTTGCTTTGACTACTAGCTTCTGAATGACTCTACTCCACGGATTAGTTTTTCAAAGGTAGTAATATAATATTGTTGTTCTGCGTTTTGACATCACATAGACTCGTAGGTAGATACCAATGTTACAGAGAGACAAACTGCCTCCATCTTCAGGGTTATCTCCAAATGTTGGTATCTATTCGTGCCAAAGCCCAGAGCAACAGTCATCCTCACTGCTGCTAAAACCTCAAATCTCATGCAGTAACAACGCAGAACTTCACAATAGTTTAGAGTTTTGTGTACCATGCCAAGACAGTAAACTACATTCTACTGCGCTACCAGGCTGCTGGAGTACTAAGCATGGAAAAGATGCAGAACAGATCATGGAGGAACAAGGGGCTAGCTAGGGTTGTTAACTGTCACTTGCTTATTCATCCACTGATGCCTAAAACTGTCCTAACCAAAGTTTTATCGCCTATGGCTGTCACCCGCGCCTCATTTGTGAGAGACACAACAGACGTATCGCCACAAAGAAGAACAGTATAAGTCAGTCTTGGCCTGTACTGATAGCAGGACTTCCGCCTGTTCATTAATGTAAAGGTTACTTATAAAAGACAATGTTTATAATAAAATTACACAAGAACGGAGAAGTGACTGCATGGTCCCTTAATCTTTAATGAAACAGAGGGTCATCTGACATGCTTTATTGCAAGTCAGTGTCTCAGATTCATTGTTCCAATGTCAGTAAGCAAGAAACAGGCTTCTGACAGTGCAAAGCTCCTCATTTGCCCAGACAAATAAAGGCAAAGACTCTGAGTAACAAAGTTGAAATCACCACAGCGCCAGCAACTGAACCTTGAACCAAATGAACCTGGAGTAGGATGCTTCCGACTGGGCACAATCGAACACGAACTGCTTCACACACTGGGGTTCTATCACCAGCAGAGCGCCACGGATAGAGACGACTACGTTACGATCCACTGGGAAAACATACAACCAGGTGATGTGATGCCACTTGTTTCATATTTTTCATAGTATCCCAATAATTGAGACTTGCATCTTTAGAATACAGGGCCATCAACACTGCAAAGTTAAAATTATAAACCTCAGAGCACATTTAAACATAAGTTTGCTTTGCCACGCACATGCGACCAAAGGAATTTCCGTTTGTAGTGCATGCATTTGCAACTGTTTACTCCAGACCCTCCCTTACCAAGATCATTTTATTTTTCCTGTGTTAATGTATATTATGGGACCTCTAAATTAGACATAAAACATGGAGGTCATGTCTCACTCTGTCAGAACAATGCAATGCATTCTAAGTAAGTTGTTGGGTAAATTTAATTTTTCATAGCGTTCAATTCAACCTTCAACAGTAAAACGGCTATCAACATTTCAATCCTCTCCACAATAATAAGATAAAACTGGCTGAGTAGTTTAAAATTAATGAAGGCATCTGCATGACGAAGCACTGTTGGCCTACAAAGTGGGCGACCGATGTTTTAAGTTAAATAGTAACGTTAGCATAATTCTGCACTACACTGCAGTAGCTGGCATATGTTTGCAGTTTCAATCTTTCAGTGAATATATAATGAATCCCCTCTGCTCCTCACCAGGGACAGAGAACAACTTTAACAAGTACAATGCGAGCAGCATCACCAATTTTGGTGTTGAGTACGACTATGACAGCGTACTTCATTACAGTGCCTATTCATTCTCAAAGAATGGAGAGAAAACAATCGAGCCCAAGGTAAGTTCTGTGTATCAGTTTGCTCGTTTTTCGTAGAAGGGATTTGTCGTGGGCCACCAAAGAGCACTGTTTGTGATAGAGTGAATAAATTATGGCCACCCTGTACATAACTTTATGTTACCTACACTTGTACATGTCAGCTCATAACAAAAATGCAAATATTTCTTAATATTGCAGGATGAGAATGTAGAAATAGGACAGCGAGCTGGATTCAGCAAGAAGGACATTGAGAAGCTTTCAAAGATGTATGAAGATGTCTGACAAAATTGTGATAAAACCATAATGGAACTTGAAACCAACAGATAAAATATGTAACGTGTATTGTATAAACAATGAAAGTTAAGTTAAATTAGAAACTGAAATAAACATGCTCAACTCACCGACAGATTTCTTTGTTACTGCCTCCATCTGTGTGTCCCATTTAAAATCCCAACACATTTCCTGTTTCCATTCTCAAACCACGGGGTACTGCCAGCCCTTGATAATCATTTGCTTTTGTTTTTTTGCAAAAAGGTGAACAAAATGAACATTAATGGGAAGCTGCATCACCTTTAAAACTACTGAATGAACTTCACTCAAATTTAGGACTGAGGGTCCACATCAAAGGTCGAGGAAATTTAATTATGATTGTAATTAGTCTAAAAGAACACCTACTTTAAACTAAGCTCAACTACAAACTGCATAAATTTTCTCAAGAATGGTTCATTGTCACATAACATAATACACATATTGATGAGATCTTTTTTTAAACATTTTTTGATATACCAACCATTTTAAAAAAATACAACAGAAAATATTTTCTGATAATGCGCAGTGCATCGACGCAGCTCACATCCTCAGCAGACTTCGGGTCTTCACACAGATTATTTATTACAGCATTAATAAAGCGAGTAATAACACAACCGCTCAGATTGCAAACCGAACACCAGACTGCCAAATAATTACAGAACAGGACAGAAAGGAATGGGTGCCACCGGCGTCACAATAGCCATTAAAACATGATTAAAAAAATACTTATGTGTTTCACTATAATACTATAAACATATTTATTACTGTTATTTACAAACACAGATGGTACAGGTCAGCACAAAGGCACTCAGGCAATGGTCTCAAACAGAGAACCTGGCCTGATGCTGCATCAAAATGCTGACACACACAACATTTAATGTGATTGCATGTCCCTCACTCTGTCTGTTTGATTGATTGATTAAAAGGACGGGGGGAAAAAGTCCCCAGAGTCAAAAGTAATGGTTCCACACAATAACCTAGCTCCCGACTTTTTATCACTAACACACCACATGTCCCAAAATAAGATGTGCTTTCTTCTAGCCAAATTTATAAAAAAAGTGAATGTACTGAGTCTGTTTTTGTGCACACAAAGTATAAACTATTTTTCCTCTGCCAGGACAACTATTTCTCTGACACAGGACCAAAATAATAATCACAGCATCCTCTCTGCTAGGGTTAAACCAAATTCCCCAGATGCTTTTAACAACCACATGTGACAAGAAGTGTGAGATCCATTTCAACAAACAGATCTTTTGCATAAAATTGATTTGAGGTCAACTGCATGTATTCCAAATCTATCACCTGCAACGTGACGGGTTGTTTACGAAAACTGAGTGGATTCAATGCACTACATTATATTAACTTGTACTAACTCATGTATGAACACAGCCACAATCACAGCAAGGCACTCAACAGTGCCCATAGCACGCTAAAGGAAACAACACCACCTGGAGAATGGCTTTTCATGTAACACAGAGAGAGAAGAATGAATAAGAGTCAACCATGTTCAATGCTACACAAATCTTCAGACTGATAAAACACTGACAGCAGAACAGGTCAAAAAGATTAACTAATCTTGACATAAATGAAGATGGGAACATGTTCCTATGAAGTCCTTCATACTCTGAAGCTATTGCAAGTAAAAAAGACCAATTTTAGGAGCGAAAACATTTTCCAGTAACTTCAAAACTTTCACTTTGCTATCGAAACTCCCTTGACAGTACTACCAAAGGCACCGACCTCTCTCTGCCTCTGGCCTTTACCAATATCTGCATTAATCTTACATTATATGGGTACAAACAAAAGCACACCCTTCACTCTCAGTTTTGTTAGTGTGTGAACAACTGCATCCATTCTAATTTTCAGGCAGATCTCCCCAGTC